GAGAGAGAGAGAGAGAGAGAGAGAGAGAGAGAGGGAGAGAGAAGTGTGTGTATGTGCGCGCGCGCGCGCGCAAAACAAAGCTACGTATGTGGTACGATAATTGTACGATATTTTGCGCGCGAGATAAAAATCAGATTTCTTTAACAAGAAAAACCTGGGGTTCTCGTTTAATAGGGTGAGATTAATGCCTGTGATTTTTTTTATCGGTGTCGAATGTTTCTTTTATATTTATATATCGTCATCAGATAGTAATATATGTATATTTTCACGGCACATCCATGTCTCTCCTATCCTCACGGCACCGCATGATTATCTCGTATAAACTTCTTATTTATATATCTATATTGTTTATCGTGTATGACAAAATAATATAAACTTAATGAAATATATAATGTGTGTATCTCCGAATTCTGTGTGGCATGTTCTTCTCTGCGATAAACCAGCAACAATTATGTCGAATGTCTGTCGATTCACGATCAGTTTCTTTTGCTTCTATATCCGCTGAAAAAAACAAACGTCAATTTCATACAAATGTTAAAAATTCTATGAGAGAATAAGTCTGCTCGATATTCTTTTGAGACGTGCTACCGAATTTGTGTATTTCTATAATAATTTATATATTTTCTACCTATACTTTTACATTTATACCTTTGTTGTGACATTATTCTATATTGCCGCACGTTGTCTTTATACATATACATATATATATATATATACATTTCACTCTCTCTAAAAATTTTTATCTAATATTACCGATTATATAAACAAGTTGGCTAAAACTTTGCATCGTAGCTATGAATAACTATGCGCACAATGTGTTTCGGTTCTCCACGCACAGATAAGTAATTTCGAGAGTATTAAGCTTTCGTCGTTGTCCCATTTTGTTTCGTAATTTTATATTCGATATTTCCTTCTAATTATACGACCATTTCCTTTCACCTTGTTATTATCAATCTTTCCTACTTCCGAGTGAAATGCCCGTGAATCCCTATTCTCCGTACCTTGAGGTGCCGCTCTGTAGTTTCTGTGAGATACTGGTTTTCATATGTTTAGGCCGAAAAGTGTTCCTTCGTCGCCGATGGTAAAACGGGCCTTCTCGCGACTTGGTACGATCACGGCAGGATGGGGAAAAAGTATTAGAAAGCACAGCAGTAACACCTTGCAGAGCGAAGATCGAAAGCGATGGGCCAGCTCGCAAGATTGCAGCAGTACGTGTCTTTAAAAAAAAGTGAAATAAAATCGAGTTTGAAAAAACAGTTCAACATCGTATATTATATTATGTATTTCTTCACCATTATATGGTCACATATGCAATACTATTATTTCTCGCAGACAAAGAAGTGAAAGACAAGGAAAAGGCAGCTCAATCATTGGCAGTGCCGAGACTCAGCGTTTGTGCGGATGCTCAAAAAATAGATAGAGCGAAACTAGCTCAGACTGAGGTGAGAGGAAACGTTATAGCAATGTCGTTATAGTGTATCTTGTTGTGTTGTTGTAACAAGAAAATAAAAAGAAAATAAAAACATCTTTCAAGACAGTGTTATTGTGCATGTATAAATTATTTTCACAGTTTGATATCATCGAATTCGATCCAGAGACCTTTCGACTTCTATTGGATTATCTGCACACCGGATCCTGTCCGCTTACTTGCAGCAACATACCAGGTCTGATATGCGCGGCGGAGCACTACGATCTACCGGAGCTCCTTCAAGCGTGCTTCCATCACGCAAAACAATTCCTCAGAATTGAAATCGTCTGCGTAATGTTGTGCGCACTTGAGAATTACTATTGGCGGTATACATCGGCAACCGAGTTAGTTAATATGATTCTTGCCTTCGTCGAGACAAGAGCTTATCAACTGTTTCAAAATCCTGACTTCCTCACGCTGAGTGAATCTATGGTACAAACGATAATGTGTCGTAGCCTTGAAGTGGTGGAAATCAAAAAGTTCGAGGCTATGTTGAATTGGGCGAAGCATCGAATAAAGACTAAATCAACTAAGATCGACGCCAAAGTCGAATTTAAGTGCATCATGGAAAGACTCAGCAGAGATCTCAAGTTATACAGAATAACGCCACAAGAATTAATTAGGGTAAGTATTGAAATAACGAAGATACATTGGTACATGAGAAAAGAGAGAAGGATAATCAAGTCTGATTATTTGATTATTAATTTTGTCATTGTTTACATGGTGCGATTAATAAAATTGATAATTTGTATACAAATACTGTAAAAAATTTTTTCATTATTGCAAAAACATGAAAAAAGCGTCGTTGTTTTATTTTTTCAGATCGTGTTGCCGACTAAAGCGATAAGAAACGAACGAATACTTGAAACGCTAATGTTCCAAGCAAACTCGGGGATATTCAGGAATGTTGACAGTTACCTGGAAGCGTATCAAAAAAAAGTCGCGACTCAAGAGAGCTTTGATTATGGCTTATAAATGTCACCGAACATCCAAAAAGTGTCGTGAGAAAAAACCATGTAGTCTCTGCTTGAGTTAATTTGACGAGATCTATACTCTCGATGTGTGTTGCCCAGCAAAGACAGAAATATAAACTGCGAATCAGTACAAACTTACGCCTGGCGTGTATAACTCTTCTTTCTTTCGTACCGCGAGTGAATTAATGTACAAAACACTTTTTTTACTCTACTTGATGACAGTTCAGACGTTTCTCGGTCAAAAGATCAGACAGAACAAACTGGGGTATATGGACAGTGCTATATTGAGCACAAATGATCCCTTTTGGCGAACACCTAAAAATAAGAAAGAAAGAAAATTGTCAAACGCCATTCTGTCCAGTCATTGCCGCCTATTGTTCAACTGTACATCGAAGCGACACTGAATTGTTTCGGAAAAGAAAAAGAAGTTCTCCTTTTATATGCGCCCTTCTTTTTCAGTTTGTTGTCAATTGCTTGTTAACGCGGTGTTGGAAAATTTCATCATTATTTCTTTTCATCTCCCCTCATTTTAAGTATCTTGAATCATTTCTTCTTTTTCACAAAAAAAATATATATAAAGAAACAAAAAAGAAGAAAATACTTTGAGATACTTCGAAAATAATCGATAAATCCTTCGATTTTTCAACACTGACAGTTGAAGTAAAACGATGATACAGAAGCGATACGTTTTTTGGCAAAATGATTCAGTGCCGATAGATGCACATGCATTCACTAAATAAGATATTTATGAAGATATATGCATATATATTGCAATGTAAACACACACATGTAATGTTAAAAAAATGAGATAATCAAAGAGAAAAGTATACATACATATACGTCTCTAATGCGAAAACTATAAAAGCTTTATTTAACAAAATATTATGCCACGTGAGCGGGTTTCGGCGAGCAAAATACATACTTCCAGATGGATTAAGCCAAATAAGGATGTTAAAAAGTAGTCGATTTTTGCTCCCGTTTTGGCAAGTAAAATTTGAGTAATTTTTTATAGATTTTTTATAGATTTTTGGTTGTAGAATCACATGGCGTATTTAGTTTTTCCATAACATGCAGGGAAAATATGAAAAAATTGAGAAAAATAGGAAAAAATGCATTCTACTTTTTTCTACTTTTTCTCAATTTTTCCATATTTTTCCTGCATGTTATGGAAAACTTAAATACGCCATGTGATTCTACAACTAAAAATCTATAAAAAATTACTCAAATTTTACTTGCCACACCGGGAGCAAAAATCGACCACTTTTTAACATCCTTCTTTCTTCCAGTCTTTATTTTAAGATCTTTTGTTAAGATAAAAAAAAAATTGCGTCAGTGCAAGAACAATTTTTGTGCCATGTTAAACAATAGATATTTTTCAAATCAATGTGCACAAAAATAATTTACTATTAAACATAAAGAATTGAAAAACTAAAAAACATGTAAAACTTTATCAAATTTTTATCTATTATGTTAATTTTGAGTTTTTGAATTTTGAGTTTTGTGATTATAATTTTTTTTACATTTTTTCATATTGAATAATAGATAAAAAGACTACAGAGGCTATATCATTAATATGAAATATCCTATGAAAATTTTGTACAATACTTATTAGTACTATCTTATTAAGTGATCTACAGATTGTGTATATATTTATTTGTACATATTATATGTATAAAATAATTATATAAAGTTTTTTATTTTATAAGATGCTACGACGATCAAAATAAATATCTGTGAACATGCTTCTGCATTATCTAAAACGCGATGTGCTCCTATGTACTCCAATGTGGACTAAGAATAATCTTGTTATAAGCTGTGTGTGTCGTATGATGGTTGTGCATACTCTTAAGTGTTTCTCGTATTCTCCCGTATGCGTTTGATTATTCGTATAAATAGTCTATAAATGCGTTATTGCGATGTATATGTGTCGTCATTCTTATCTTGTTAAATGCTTGCTGTTCTTCTTAACATTATATCGCTGCCATTGGATCTTTATCGTCTCGTTGTTGTTGTTGTTGTCGTTATTGTTAAAAGAAAACCGCAATATCCGCTCATAATTGTATGCATAGTATAACGCAAATGTAACACAAATTATGACTAATTTGCGATCTTATACTTTTTTTACATTTGTTTTAAGTTTTACAGTATAAAACAATGACAGAGAGAGCGAGAGAGAGAGAGAGTATGTAGGAGGGAGTGAATGAGTAAGTGTATGTATAAGGGTGTGTGTATGTGTATATGCGATTTAAATTATTTTTGCGGTGTAGAACATATGATTAAAAAAAAATCATGTTGTGTATGTGATTTTGAATTAATGCAATCACGCATACATATCGAATATCCCGAATATTAATTAATTTATATGTATAATAATACCAGTGTTACTTCGTTGTATTGAATATATCTATTATATATATATTCTATTATATATATTATACACACACACACACACACACTATATACTATATATAGTATATATAGTAATTAATGATTTATTGTCCGCAAGTTTCAGCTTTGCGATGACGTGGTATATTATTAATCGTGATACACAACTATAATCGATTGATAATTTGTTATTCTAATATATCGTATTACATATAGCGTATACATGTGCGTGGATTACAAATTAGTAATAATAATGATGAATGGGATATTATCAAATATCGAGATGAAAATTTATGTAGATATATCAAAAAGTGTGTGTTTTTCCGATTTCATGCGATCATATATTATATCGATATGAGATTAACTGTGACCTGACGATAATTGACAAGTGCGTGCACACGAGTGTCTTCCTTTCCACTTGTGTTCACGTGATGAATCTTATTAAGAGCTCGCCGTGTCGCGCTTGCGTGGTAACAAAAATAAAAACATACAATGCATATACAGGGTGTCCGACAATTAGTGTAATATCTCTCGTAGGCAGATAGAAGGAGTAAACCTGAGGCGAAAAGTCTTATACCATTTTGCAAAATTTGCAAGTTACCGAGATCTTAATTAACAAAGATCCGCAAATAAGCATGCATCAAGCTGTCTTACGCGCGTACGACAGCTCGGCGCGCTTCACGCGCTTATGGTGTTACCCGTAGCAACGTATGGGAAGAGCTAATATAACAGCATATACTACACCATATACATAATAAAGTCTCTTGCACAATGGAAGAAATACCGATAGCGATAGAAATATAACACCAGTTTTAAAGAGTTTATATTTATAAATAACGATAGGAACAGCGGAATCTAACATACAAAAATACACATGTATCAATGCAGATCAGAAAACGGAATAAGCAATAGCGATAAATTTTCCGACGAGTTGGAATTCTGTGTCTATTGCTTATCCCTATCACTATTCCCTCGCATTGTGCAAGAGCCTTAAAAGGTAACCGCGCGAAGCGGGGATATCTTACGCGCATAAGACAGCTCGATGCATGCTTATTCGCGAATCTTTGTTAATTAAGATCTCGGTAACTATTGCAAATCTCTCAAAATGGTATAGTACTTTTCGACTTAGTTTTACTTCTTCTACCTATCTACGAGAGATGTTACACCAATTGTCGGATACCTTGTATATATATATAAGGTGTCCCAAAAATTCTGACCAAGCTGAAGTGTGAAGGTAGAGTGTGTCAGTCTGAGAACAGAAAAGTTATATACTATTGTGCAAAATTTGCAATAGTTATTGAGTAGTTAATTAATAAATGTGACTCAATGAGCGCGTAATCAACTATCAACTGCAAAGAAAGATGGCTTCATGCAATGTTCTAGCAACGAGAGACGGAGTAAACAAGCAAGCGCGATGTGTGACAGCTTCTTGCGATCAGCTGATATTCGGCGGTACGGAAAAAGAAAGTGAGGAGGTTGCTTTCTGCAAGGAAATAAGGAAATAATAACGCTCTCATTTCCTTCTGTCACAAAAAAGATATTAATTATTATTACTATTAATTAGACGAGTACTATTGGGAGCTGAAAAGAATGCACACTACTCACAAGCTAACAAACGCGAAAGGCAAGGGGAATCATCCGTCCGCTCAACCCGATCCCCTCTACTAGGTGAGTTCTATCGAGGCGGTGGGGAAGCGAAAACCATGTGAGCTTACACTGTTTTCGCTTGTGGGCATATCCCCACCACTTCGATAGAACCTATCTAGTGGAGGTGATCGGGTGGAGCGGATGATTCCCTTTGCTCCTCGCGTTAGCTTGTGGGTAGTGTGCATTCTTTTCAGCTCCCAATAGTAGATGTCTATCTTAGTTTTCTGTATCACACGCTTTTTTTGTATCGCTTGCCGCTATTCGCTGCGTTACATCGCCGTGAGAATCACATGATCGCGAGCAAACAGCCTTCTTATCTCTTTGCTGCTTTCTCTGTACTGCTTAATATCAGCTGATCGCAAGAAGATATTACACGTCACATGTCGCACGTCGCGCTTGCTTGTTTACTCCGCCTCTCATTTCTAGGATATTGCAATCATTACATAAAGTACTACAGAGTCCGCTCTATTTCTTCCCGTGCGCTCATTGGGTCACATTTATTAATAACAATTAATAACTACTCAATAACTATTGCGAATTTTGCAAAATGGTATATAATTTTTCTGTTCTCAGACTGACGCAATCTGCCGTCATACTTCGGCTGGGTCAGAATTTTTGGGATACCATGTATATATATACAAGGTATCCAACAATTGGTGTAACATCTCTTGTAGACAGATAGAAGAAGTAAAACTGAGTCGAGAAGTCCTATACTATTTTGAGAGATTTGCAATAGTTACCGAGATCTTAATTAACAAAGATCCGCGAATAAGCATGCATCGGGCTGTCTTACGCGCGTAAGACAGCACAGCGCGCTTTGCGCGCTTACGGTGTTACCCGTAGCAACGTATGGAAGGAGTTAATATAACAGCATATACTACACAGTACAATATTCCCAGATAGCCAACTGAGTGCAAGTTGTTGGCAACTTGCCACAAATATTGCTCATATGTTTTCAGCAATGTAACAAAAGGGTGTATCCTCTTTTCGGTATGTTCTTGCCAGCAAAAGTTTACAAGATACAATAACAGCAAGTTCCCAACAACTCATCGGCAATAAACTTATATTATTTTTCTTATAAACTTATGAATAACTATTATTGCTCATATATTGCTCACATATTGCTGACTCACTTGTCATAAACATTGTCTACAACAATTGATTGATAATAAAACTCAGCATATTGATACTGAATTGACAAAAACATTTTTGTTGCATTAAATAAAAACAACACAACAGCAATTGGCGAGCAACTTAATCTATACAATGATTTGCTTTATATTGAGTTTTCACATTTGGCTATCTGGGATAATATACATAATAAAAAGTAACCGCGCGGCATGGGCATCCGCAGGGAGGAGCAAACCTTGCATTTGCCTCCCCGCCCTGGAGAGGCAAGTTTTTTACAAATTGTGTTTTTTATCTTGAAACAAGTTTGAAATCCCTGTTTAACAAATTAAATCATACATCTATTCGTGAAAACTCTCTGTACAGTGAAACCTTTCTGTAGAATTCATAATTTTTGAGACGGAAAAATTGCTCCGGCCCCTCCTGAAAAAAATCGTGCGGACGTCCATGCCGCGCTGGGTTTTACGCGCATAAGACAGCCAAATGCATGCTTATTCGTGGATCTTTGTTAATTAAGATCTCAGTAATTATTGCGAATCTTGCAAAATGGTATAGGACTTTTCGTCTCAGTTTTACTCCTTTTACCTGCCTACGAGAGATGTTACACCAATTGTCGGATGTGTGTGTGTGTGTGTGTGTGTGTGTGTGTGTGTGTGTGTGTGTGTGTGTGTGTGTGTGTGTGTGTGTGTGTGTGTGTGTGTGTGTGTGTACAGGGTGTCCCAGAATTGGTGTAACATCTCGTGAACAAATAGAAGGAGTAAAACTGAGTGCGTTTTGCGCGCTTACGGTGTTACCCGTAGCAACATATGGGAAGAGCTAATATAACAGCATATACTATAACATATACATATTAAAATGTAATCGTGCGAAGCGCGCCGGGCTGTCCTACGCGCGTAAGACAGTCCGATGCATGCTTATTCGCTAATCTTTGTTAATTAAGATCTCGGTAACTATCGCGAATGTAACAAAATGATATAGGACTTTTCGACTCAGTTTTACTTCTTTTACCTGCTTACGAGAGATGTTACACCAATTCTGGGACACCCTGTATATATGTATATGTATATATGTATACATATATATACATATAGAAAATTAGAATCAAGATTTGTTGTATATAAAGCAACTGTGATGTTACTGCTGAACATAAAAAAATATATGTGTGTGCGTGTGAATATGTATATATGTATCAAACGTACATACCCGTACATATAAGACAAAAGAAAGCAGGAAAATGAAAGCACATACATACATACACACATACATGCACGCACATATAAAAAAGAGATGCTGTTTAAAAGTCGTGTCTAAAGAATGTTTTCTTTCACCTCCTCGCTCACAAAGTCTGCTGCGAATTTGTGAAAGTGAAATTGTAATTTATATTCGTACAAACCGACTATTTTTTAAAATGACAACATGACTGATGTATCATGTAATATACATAGGCAATAAAAATGTATTGTGCTAAGTCTTCTCTGTAAAAGTATTAACTGTGCATAAAATAACTTTTTCTTCTTATACGTCCTATACATCGCACATATACATATATTCTAATACTCACCAATATATACAGGGTGTCTGATAATGACCGTATAACCGCTCGTAGGCAGGTAGAAGAGATTATTCTGAGTCGAAAAGTCCTGAATCATTTTTTTATCCTTGAAAATACATATTCTTGACTAATTTCTAACTTTTTATTTGGCAAAATTTTGTCTGAAGTTTACTTTTTGAGTTATTAATAAAAATAGTTGACTTACCACAAGTCGGATACAAGAGATAAGCAGGGGCGGCGCAATTTACCGTCAGACGCAGGCGATTACGTATGGTTGCCCTGACGCAATCAGCTGATTGCTACACACTGTTTCTGTATCTTTTTCTGTCTCTCTCTCTCTCTCTCTCTCTCTCTCTCTCTCTTTCTCTCACTTATTTATTTACTTATTCGTAATTTGTATCATTTAATCCGTGCATCACATAAATCACTGTCGATCACGGTGAGTTGCGCCGCCCCTGCCTACCTCTTAGATTCGACCACGAAGTAAGAGTAAGGAGATCGAACTCCGTGGTCTTTTTTTTTTTTTTTTTTTTTTTTTATTTAGAAATATATATTGCCAGAGGACTCTTGTCCTATTAGGCTTACAAATTCTTTTAACGAAATCAAGTGTTTTCTTTAAGGCTTAGTCACAGAGTATTTCAACATCCATATCATGGAGGAGTATGTATAGGGTACTACCTCCGTAGTCAACCTTCGAAGTCAAAGTGTGCAGTTCTTTTTGTTCCTACTACCACGCGATACACGGCCGTCTTTCACAGTGGGCGTGGCCCATCTGTGTCGGGCTCGTGCTCGGAATGTTGTGACTTCGATCGCCTTGTGGGAAGGAGAAATTAACTCGGAATTACATCCGAATTAATTTTTGGAGGCCCGATTTAGTTCGCCGATCAACCGAAAAACTCGGTTGAAGGGGACCGGCCCGGAAAAAAATCCTTAGGTGGTGAGCGGATTCGAACTCGGGACCTCCGGGTTCGCAGCCCCTGCACTCAGGCCGCGAGACCACTCGAACTCCGTGGTCTAGTTTCCATCGAAATCCTCAACTTCGGTACAGATCAAATTTAGTGTTCCGTTTCCATTGGAAGTAGAGTACTTATAGATCAAAGCGGAAGCAAAATCAGCGCAATTTGACAGGTTTCCATCGACTTAAATTTGATTCTACGTCGCATTAGATGTGAATTAATGCTTCGGTGGAAACTAGACCCGTGATACAAAAGTGGTCCCAATTTTTGCAGTTCATTGGGAGGAAATCCGCTCAAGAGAATAGTTTTTTACGGTTGGACGCCATTTGCAAAACTATGCATGTACCATCATATATATAATCCATATATGTAATACTTCTATATGGCTAGTTGAGCTCTCAGCGCGGTTCCAACACTACGGTGCAGACAATGCTCTACTCTCTTTATTACTCTTTATCACTGTTCAGTTTGTTCGAAAGCGCATGCTTATATTGGCTGCGTTCCGATGTTCACTGCCAGTACTGAAAATCTATAGCACATGTGACGTGAAGTATAACCTCGAAAGTCTTCTAAGATCAGAGAGAAACCTGAGAGCGGCCATCCTATAGTAATTTTTTACGACGGTTTCAGCCGCTGGTTTTAGCCGTATTTCCACAAAAGTGGAACTCAAAGGCCGTTCTACATTAAACGCAAGTCGCAGATCTCGTGGAATTGACCAATTGCAGAGTCAAATCAGCCAATTGACCAACGTGATTGATCAGTTCCACGAGATCTGCGACTTGCGTTTAATGTAGAACGGCCTTTGAGTTCCACTTTTGTGGAAATACGGCTAAAACCAGCGGCTGAAACCGTCGTAAAAAATTACAATAGAATGGCCGCTCTCAGATTTCTCTCTGCTAAGATATTGTTTTGGATCTATTTGTGTAGNACGAAAATTACGTACTACACGATAAAATCAGTGCAAAATGGTGAGATATTGTTATGTCTGTAACAAAAAACAAGNCAAAAATAAAGATCTTTGCTTACATAAGTAAGTTATAAGCGTAAATTNTAATGTATATATTATGTCTCTGAAATGTGGTTATCAGTTTATCTTAAGAATAATAATTTTTCTTTAAGATTTCCAAAAAATCGAGAGATCTGTTTAAAATGGAAACAGTTTTGCGGTTTGAGAGAAGTCGATGATGTAAGTGCGATTTACATTTGTTCCTTTCACTTTCGTCCAGAAGATTTTCGGAGTCATACATCAACATTAGCAGCAAAAAAGCAATTGCTAAAACTTGAAGCAGTTCCTTCAAATCGTTTTAAAAAAAAGCAAACTTTGATTGTAAAGAATGCAAAATTATTGTTGACAAAAGAAAGTTCAAAAGTAAACAAAGATGAAACAGTACTAGAAAAACCACAATTGGAAGTGCTAAGGCACAATAAGGAATATATAGAACCAGAAATTAATGTGCCATTCTCATACTCGAGTGAAAATCGAGTAAAAGATTATTTGTCATCAGTGAACATGCCTGCAAATGTATCACGTAAGTGTCATAGATTAATATATCCAATGTTGTTTTCATTGCATTAAAAGAAATAGAAAGTAAAAACTGCACTATTAACAATTTTTATAGATTTTTACTTTGTAAATATATATTATATACTATAAAAATAATGTTTATATCAAATCTTATGGATACCTTAATTTTTACAATTTAACATATAAACATGTGTTCAATATTAGGTCTTGTACAAGAACTATTACATTTAACACCTATAAGAAGAGAACATGTAGAAACTTCAAACATTTCTGAATTGCAATCACAAATTCAAAACAATTATGATGAAAATGTAGCACCAGAAATTAATGTGCCATTCTCATACTCGAGTGTCAAAAGTGAGACAACAGAAGTTGTCAGTCCGCTGCAAGATAAATCATCTTTGCATAATGTTCTGGCAAACATATCAAAAAGTATAAATATTAATATATCTTATGTCATTTATATTGCAGTAACATATCTATATGTACATTTGTTACAATCTGTAATTGTAATGATTGAAAATGATTTGTCTTATTTATAAACATATCTTACTGTCTCAGAAAATATACAATAATTTTGTTTGTCCAGGATCTGTTAACAATTTATGTTCGACGCCTAAAAGACGGAGATATGCAGAACCTCGCTACATTACTGAAATTACGACGCCTGACGTACAAACTCCTAAAAGAGCTAGTCGAGTTATAAAATTTGTTAAAAACAATCATATGAAAGAAAAAGAATATATAAAAAAGCTACAGAGGAAGAACAGAGACCTCATAAAGCGCATCAAGACTCTTGAAAATATGGTCTCTCACTTAAAAAAGATGAATTTAATCTCTGAAGATGCTGGAGATTCTTTGCTAGTACAGTATTCAGTTTAACTATCGAAGTAGTATGAAACATGCAATGTTCGTTATTGTCAATAATTTGAAAATGTTTGATAAACATATATGCAAAATCCAGATACACTCAACGTAGAGGTTTTCTGTCCTGAAAACTGCTACAATTATGGCGTACTCTTCAATATACAGAAAGGTTGACTCATGATTATTACACTTCATACATGTACATTTATTTGCATAAAAGAACAAATTAAAAATTTTTTTTATATATTCAATTTGTGCAGTAATATAATTTGATTAATATTTATCTTGATTGATAAATATAAAAATATAATATCACCAAACTAAGTAATGGTCTTGTTAAGATATTTAATACTTATTAAGATACTTATATATTTTTTCTTTATTTAATAACAGATGTACATAATGTTTATATAAATTAAATAAGACGTCATTAATAGATGGTATTAAAATAAGTAATATTTAATAATTTATAGTAATGTTTAATTTTATAATTAATATTACTTATGTGTAGGAATACACATATAATAGTATTTATTTTATATTTCTTAATGTAAATAATATTTCTAAAGATATAGCTATGCAGAAACGTGCATATATATATATATAGCAGTTCATATCTAAAGTAATCGTAATAATTGTAAACGAGACAACCTTCTTGTCAATTGTTATGAAAAAAGATTATGGAGGGTGACAAAAAAACCACTTACAATTGTAGAATAACTACAGATTTTTGAATAGTTGCGTGTGATTTTTTCGTCACGCCTATAATACTTTTTCGTAAGAGTACACATATNATTATACATTACATCAATCATCAATCTTTGGTAAGTGTTTTGCACACTAAGTTAGTAACTTAGTGCACTTAATAAGTATATCTCTTTTACGAATTAATATACATTCTGCTTTTCTAGAATTTGATGCCAGAAACTGTCAAGGAACTTATAGTGCGAAAAGTTAAATGCAAGGGACGTTATTCTCCAGGATTGCGTAGTTTTGCCTTGACTCTACATTTTTACTCGCCTAAAGCATACAACTATGTTAGGAAGACATGGTCACTCTTGTTGCCGCATCCTTCCACTATCAAACAATGGTACAGAGTTGTGGATGGGTCACCAGGATTTACAAAGGAAGCATTGGATGGAATAAAATTACGTTCACTAGCTACGAAGAAACCTGTCATTGTAAACCTTGTTATAGACGAAATGTCTATACGAGAACAAGTAGTTTATAACGAAGGAAAACTTCATGGCGGCGTGGATTTTGGGACATTTGATAATGATAGTGATTCCATAGAAACCGCAAAAAATGCACTTGTGTTTATGGCTGTATCATTGAATGATAATTGGAAAGTGCCTATTGCGTATTTTTTAATAAATTCATTAAGCGGTCAAGAACGATCTAATTTACTGACACAAGCGCTACAAATGTTGTATGACAGCAATGCACATGTTTTTTCTATAACATTTGATGGTACGCCGACAAATATTAGTATGTGTACTCATTTAGGCGCAAACTTTCAATATGGACATGATTTTAAACCATACTTTACAAATCCTGTGACGTTAAAAAAATGTTTTGTGTTTTTTGATATTTGCCATATGATTAAATTGATTAGAAATACTCTAGGCGACAAAAAAATGTTAAAAACTAATAGTAATGAAATTATATCGTGGCACTTTCTCGAAAAATTACATTAGCTTCAACAACGTGAAGGTCTCAAAGCAGCCAACAAATTATCGAACAAACACATAAATTTTTCGAACAACCGTATGAATGTGAAATTAGCAATGCAAACATTGAGCGAAAGTGTTTACAAGTCATTTATGTTCTTAACTTCATTAGATAATGATAATATCAAAACAGAATTTGATGGTTGCTTTCCGACTGCTGACTTTTGTTTGCAATTCAACAATATGACTGATATGTTGAATTGCAAAAATAAGTTTTTGAGGCATAAATTTAACACTGCCTTGACGGAATCGAATTACTCTGAATTAAAGGCACATGCCGCAAAGTTCGAAAATTATATTATTACGTTATGTGATGCGGAAGGAACCTTTATTTTAAAAAGCCAGAGAAAAATCGGATTTCTTGGTATGATTATTGGCCTAAGAAATATGTTTCTTCTCTTCGACGAACTGAAAGGTTTCGGATTAACCTACCTCTTGACATTTAAGTTATCGCAAGATTATGTAGAAACGTTTTTCAGTGCAATACGATCTCAAGGAGGTTTCAATAACAACCCGAATGTGCTACAATTTAAAAGCGCGTATAAACGGTTATTAGTGCGACATGAAATAAAAGAGGTAGAAAATGGCAACTGTCTTTTCGATAATGTGGAGATTTTACATGTATCGAGCAAAAATTTAAAATGCCCTATTGTTGATACCATTTCTCTAAATGACATAAACGTTGATTTTGCTCACGATTATGTTAAAGCATTTTGAAATTTATCTTTGTACGTGGAAAATGTCGTGTTGTATATAGCAGGCTATGTATGTAAAAAAGTTTACAACAGAATAGATTGTTCGTTTTGTAAATCAAAATTGCTAGGCACTAGTATGCCATTGCTCTCAGCTATCAAGAATAGGGGACCTTATTTAATACCAGCTCCAGACGTTTGTTCTATTTGTAAAACAGCTGAGAAGATTATTCGGCAAAATTTACATTGCTTAAATACTAGAAATATTAAACAAATTTNATTTAATGATATTTTCCAAAAAATAGGAATTCCTTTTGATAACGACGATATGCGTGATCATATTATGACANAAGATATTTTAGATAATCATCGCACACAACTGTGTAAATCTATTATTACAGTATATTTGAATATTCGATTGTTTTCAGAGGCAAAAGAAATGTCACAAAAGAGTGAATTTTTGCGAAGTAAATACACTAAATTAATTTTGTATAACAATCAGTAAACTTATTATTATGTCATTTTAATATTTAATTATTGGAAATAGATTAAATACTCAAATATAAAAGTAATTTTATGTATATTATAGATTATAGATAGTGTGTGCATATGTTACGTCCTGGACTCCACGGGCTCTTTCATTTTACAACGGAATATAATTATTAAGTCTAACGATAATTCTAAGAAAGAATCCTTGTAACGAATTCCTGGAAAGGGAAACGAGAGCCAGCCGAGATAAGATAGACAAGTCCGAACCGGGTGCCATGTTATAAACATCCTAGCCGGACGTCATATTATAAACAAAATCTAACCGGTATCGAAGAGCAAAGGTTATCGCCCCTCAGAAAGGAATGCGATGAACAAAGACTCTCTGTACGCAAGCTACGCGCTCGGAAATTTTGGGCATGACACAGCGGCTCTCGCGACTCTGGAAAGGAAATCGAAAATCAGGGGGCTAGAGTTGCGACTCGCAGACATAAACAAGATAGGGCACGTACCGATAAGCGAGATCTAAACAAACGATGATCCTATCGATCCGGAGAATCGAACGAAAGGGGAAAAGGTCTTTGCCCCGGCGGTCAACGAACGAGAGGCCGAAATTTCGAGAAAAGACGATGGAGAAGGGAAGATCAACCCGCAGGTATAAAAGCCCTGGATGCTCGATCGAGCATTCATTAATCAGTACGCAGTTTTCCAACACAGTTCGATCTTCAGAGAATAGTTTCTCGCGATAGAGTCAGTGATTAACAATCAATCGGTCAGTCAGTTTGAATCAAAGAAATTTCGCAAACTTCTCATTCGTCGAACCTGCTGAGGGTGCCGCCGACTCCCCTTGCGATCATCCGCGAGCAGCGTGAATCCAAGCGAAACAACTACGACCAATCACCGAGCAACCTTGCCAATTTCCAGCCTGAGGCTTATGAGCCTTGCGGACGTGCTGCATCGTCAGAGCACTCAACTTACAATTCCTTCCTTTTATCCTATTCCTGATTGCTTTGCGGGTGAATTACGGCTTGCTCAGTAAGTATAGCACCTTTTCTGCTATCCGTGGATAGAAATATTCTGCTTACAGACACTTTGTGGTCCTGCGTTGGGTATAACCTCGCTCGGCGGTTTCCCGCCAAATATTATACTTTTTTAATACTGACCTCGTACTGGTCCAGATTAACACCTGTAGCCTCTAGTATGCCAAAAGCCACTTCTAGTGTAGAGGTGGAGATGGCCGTTGAGTCGGCGCCGCCGAACCTTGATCCTGGGCCTGTTGGGAGTCCCCGGGGCATTGTGGGTGGTTTAACCTCTAAAAGCTCTGCGGGGGGTCATTCTCAGGTACCTCGCCTCTCGGGTGAGGCTGTCCCCCCTGGCCGCGCTAAGAAAAGACATTTTGTAGATGTTTCGACTCCTTCAAAAAAGGCCTAGGGTAGTAGGCCCAGTTAGTGTGCCTGACCCAATTAGTGTGTGTTTGCTTTTAACTAACGATTATGAAATAAATATTAAAAATAAATATTTCAAATATTTTTTTTAACAAACTTAAGTTATTAAAGATTACGTTTAGAACACAATTTGATATTATAAAAGCGTTAAATAACAAAAGATAATTTTATAAAAGTGTATGTAGCAATTGTGACAAATTTTCTCAAGCGTCTTGTCAAAAGTAGTAAGAAATGCTTTTATAAAACAGCAAAAAACTAAATATGTATACGATTCTCGTTAATTGAATTGCAGCATTTTATGTAAAAAGAGTTTAACTTTATAGAAAAAACAAAAAAAAGTACTTTAAAAGCATTCTTATTATTTTTTAAATCGTGTCCACTATTACCGCACAATTTNAAGCTTGTTCATGTTAGTGTGCCCCTTCAAGCGTATGTTTTTTCTAACCTCTGTCTGTTGTGGCATGAGTTTGAGTCAGGTTGCTCACAAAAAACAAATNAGGTAGAATTAACATATTTATTTTTTAATGAGTAGGTACTTATTGTACTCTTAAAACATATTAATTTATTATTATTATTATAACAGTTACTAAAATGAGCGGCATCTCAAAAATAAAGAGAAAAATATACAGTAAAGAGGCTATGTTGAAAGCTTTGGAAGCTGTAAAGTCTGGAACATTTATTAATGCAGCCAGCAGACTTTATAATATTCCTCGGTCGTCAATTCATAGTAAAGTCATCAATAAATACAGCAGAGATAAGCCTGGTCCAAGTAGTGTGTTGAGTGACTTAGAAGAAAGTGATTTAGTGAAATGGATTTTGTTTATGTCTTCTCGTGGCTGTCCAGTGACAAAGGACCATTTAATAAATAGTGTGGCAATGATCGTAAAAAAACTGAATAAGCCGAATCCATTTGTAGACGATCGTCCAGGACGGTATTGGTATGCTGCTTTTTTAAAAAGACATCCCGAATTATCGAAGAGAATGTGTAAAAATGTTACGCTCTCTCGAGCGTTAGTTTCAGAAACTTCTGTGAGAAAATGGTTTCAAAATATAGATGACTATTTAAAAAAAGAACAGTTACAAAATATTGATCTCTCAAGAATATTCAATACGGACGAAACAGCTTTAATGCTGAATCCTAAAGAAAGTGCTGTTTTGGCAGAAAAAAGATCTAAAAATATTTACAACATTGTAAATAATAATGAAAAACAAAATGTAACCGTGCTTGTTACTGCTAATGCAGCTGGGCAATTAGCACCAACCATGGTTGTGTTTGCATATAAACGTGTGCCTTCTTCCATTTACGTTACAATGCCAGAAGAATTTTGTGCTGGACATTCTGATAAAGGTTGGATGACGGCGACACTGTTTTTTGAGTATATTGCTAATAAGTTTCATCCTTGGCTCATAAAAAGTGGCATTACACTGCCAGTTATTCTTTATTTGGATGGATACGTATCTCATTTGACACAACCGTTGAGTGAATTTTGTCACTTGCATCAAATAATTTTGATTGCCTTACCACCAAATACCACACACTTCTTGCAGCCCATGGATGTTAGCTTTTTTTCCAAAAACTTACAATCAACTGAAAATAGTCAATTAAAAAATTTTATATTTTGGCTAAAAGAAAATATTAATCCAAAACAAAAGAAATACCAAACAAAAAAAAACAAATTACCATCGGTATTATCTTCCTGTGAAGAATTACAATAGTATAAAGAACAAGAAGAAAGAAAACAAATAATAGAAGACAAAAAAGAAATGAACAGAAAAATAAGACAGGAAAAAATGAAAATAAAAAAAGAAAAAGCTGAAAAAAAAACAGGAGAAACTTCGAAAAAAGGAACAGAAACAAAAGGAACAGAACAGAAACATAAAAAACACGAAAAAAAGAAACTTAAACTAAATATCTAAAAGTAGTATTATCTATTGATATTTATTGCAAGTTTATCTACTTATTTATGATTTATGTTTATTTAAAAAAAACGTATAAAATTATAACAGATATATAGTAAATTTTAATCTAAAAGTTAATAGAGTTATTTATTTACTTATTAAAAGTAAATAAGGTAAAAAGTAACTTAAAAAGAGATATTTTATGTTTATTATTGTTTATTTATGTTTATTTTTTGAAGCATTTTAATTTATTTTGGTTGAATAAAATATAGTTTTATTAAAACTACATTATGTCATTTTACTCAAGTAATACCTTATATTTTTACATTTATGTAATTAATGACCTATAAAAGATGCTCAAGTTTTTTAGCTTTTATTTATAACATAATATTCTCAATTATATAATAAAATATATTTTAAAAAATAAAAAATAAATATTATAATAAAATTGTTTTTAAATGTGCCCCAAAATATAATATCCGAAAGAGACACAGTAACTGCGAACTCACAGTCCAGGTACACAATAACTGTGAGCACACAATCCGAGACTGGCACACAGTAACTGTGAGCACACAATCCGGGACAGGCACACTAACTGGGAGCACAGTAATACATTCTTTTTGTCTCGAAGGGCACATTAACTACAGCAACATTTAACTTTTTTCTTTCATTGAAATTCATATAAAATTGTAATATTTTTTATTTAAAAAAAATATCTTGATAAAAAAGAAAGTCTGAAAAATGAGTATACAGTTTTTTCTATTTAAACTGAAGTTAAAAACTTGTGTAATTAATCGATATCTAAAAAAATTTATTTCATGGCACACTAACTAGGCCCACTACCCTACTCTCCGATAACAGAAACTCAGAGTCAGCTGGGCCATATCTCGTTCATATCGATTGCGTCTATCTTGGAGACACCACTGGAGCTAGAAGACCAGACTCAAATAGTGACAAATTGTCGACCAGTGCCTTGAGTGTTTTAGGCATTGGGAAAATGGGAGACTCAACAAACTCTTGAACCGTTTAAAAATGCGTATGACCTGAAGTCAATTGGAAAAAATAAGTTTTCGATTTTTTCCTCCTGGAAGTAGGCAAATAAGTTCATAGATATCTTCCCTTCTATATGCAAAAAGGTTACCCCTTCTGGGTACTTGCTTGCTTACATCCCAAGTTTCAAGGTTGTCAAACAATGCCTTCTCAGGGAGGTGGATGATGACGACACCGTGGAGGAGGTACTTTCCAACATTAGACAGCTCCCGGGATAGGGATCCTCTTGGATCCTACCGTTTGAGGCTGTTAGACTCCAACGCAGGGTATACAACGGTGATGGTTCACCACCAATCCTAGTTAATACTAACAGCTTTCTCTTGCGTTTCAGGACCAAAATTGTATCTTCGTCGTGCATATATAAGGAGAAAAGGTTTTTCTTGCGCTCATATATATACAAAGTCCGGCGCTGCAGTTTCTGTCAGCGCTTAGGACATACAGCGTCTTCGTGCAAAAAGGCTTCTTCTGATAAACAATTCTGCGAACGGTGCGGAAAGTCAGGATACTCTAAGCCCGACTGTTTAAGTGACGTGTTCGAATGCATTAATTGCATTAGAATCAAACACAAAGATTACAAACACCAGGCCTCGGACGCAAAGTGCCATGCTTATATGAGGCAAAAAGACACACACAAGTTGATGGCGACAAGGGACCTTTTGTTTAGAGAGGCGTCAGAGCTCTTTGATAAAGAAGGTGGGTCTGTCACCTCTTGGAAGGACCCTGTCAGTTCCTTTGCCGACATTTGGCGAGTACATTCCAGGTGAGGTTTTCAGGTTTACTGCTTCCTCTGGGTCTAAGGGCGACGGGCGTAGGCCGGATCTTGATCGTCCAGGGTGTCGGGGGGCTGACAGTGGGACGCCACCTCTCGGTAGTGCCGTGTTGGTTCTCGCCGCTGCTCGGACGGTTGCGCGCAGTGAGCAGGTGACTCGCCCCGCGTCTTCGGCGCCTGTTCATATCTTGTCTTTAAACACTCCTTGTGATACTCCTTGTGGCTCCTCAGCCGCAAACCCCTCAGAAAACAAAGACACAAAAAACAAAAGTAAATTACTCCAGAGCTAATGTAAAGTCCAGAGATAATTCCAGGGATATAGAAATACCCCATACAGCACAGAACCTTGCAGCAACATCGCTGCAACGTTGCAACATTGCAACTGCGGTGCAATGTTGCAGAGATATTGCAAACACATTATTTGGAAATATTATTCCAGCAATGTTGCAGCAATATCTTAAAACATTGTTAGAATTGCGTATTAATATTAGTGTGTAATCGGTGGCTGTATTACAGATATAGTGTCAGTTTTTTGCAATTCAATGTACGTAATTTGTGAAGCCTGGTACTACTACATGTTAGTGTTCTGCTTAACTTCATACGTTTTTTTCGCGCGAAAAAGGCCGTGAGCGGATCTAAGCCAGGAATACAGACTTGGGCTGCGTTCGATTTATCTCTGCACATTTATAATTTTATTATTAATTATAAATTATTATAAATAAATATATATATTTTATAATTTAGACTATTATTTATAATTAAAATATCATTGCAGATTGATTTTTAACATTATTATGTTATATTTTTAATATTATGAGTATTATTTATTTTATACAGTATAAGTCGGTACATTATAATTTCCAATTATAAAATTATAACATTCTATATAATTTTAAAATGATTTAGTTTTGTATGTTCCCACACAGAACAAAAACTTTATTAATCGCTCATAAACATTACCAGCTCTATACGACATTTAATAGATGTCTATTGGAGCTTTTGTTCTGTATGTGTTATTAAAACTATTATGCCAATATATATATATACACATATATATATATATACACACACAAAAAGTATTATTGCATATATATTATACTGCAATGTTACATTGCAATATTTCTGCAATGTTACATTGCAATATTTCTGTAAGCGGACATTTTACTGTTGCTGCAACATTTTGCAATGTTTCTGCAATGTTGCAATCTTGCACAACAATATTGCTGCAATCTTGCTGTGCTGTATGAGACCATCTCTCCCTCTAAAAAATCTAATATCTCATCTTCGCAATATTCTCTTAAATAAACAAATTACCAGCCTGATTCAGAGCTTGAAATTGTTTTAAAATTAGCAGTAGAAACGATTACCAATTCTGTCATTCTATAATACATATAATACATATAATTCTGCTAGATTTCTTTATTCTCTGAATCTCTCTTGCTCTTCTTTATTCTTTTTGTAGTGGTTGCCGTACGAAAAAGATGGCTTTTACCAAAAGCTTGAACATTATGCAGTGAAACTGCCGTTCCTTGCCTCGCAGGTTAGATATATTCAAGCATTTAATGCAAAAGGGTAATGTTCATATATAGCGGCCCTTTGCGAAACCCATCTAAACCATAGATCTTTAATCACCTTTCCAAACCATGAAATCGTTTTGACCGACCGAAACCGTCAAGGTAGAGGGGTCGCAATTGTAATAGCCAAGTACATTAAATTTCAATTATTATATGACAATGATATTATAGATATTTGTAAAAATAACTAAGTTGAAATAATGGATGTGTTTTGCCGAAGTTAGCGTTACGTAGCGCTACGTAGCGGCTTCATGTAGCAGTTGCAACTGCTGCGTTACTTCTGCTGGACAGTATTGCTACGCGCAGCATGTTCTAAGTAGTGGCCGCAATTTTTGTAATACTTTGACACTTTTTTTGCCATTTTTATAAATAATTAAAAAACACAGTTTAGCAACCGAAGAATACAACGGCAATTTGTATACAAACATATTTGCGCTTACAAAAGTGGCGGCCACTACTTAGAACATGCTGCGCGTAACAATACTGTCCAGCAGAAGTAACGCAGCAGTTGCAACTGCTACATGAAGCCGCTACGTAGCGCTACGTAGCGCTAACTTCGGCAAAACACACCCAATAGCAGTAAAAGTACACCTGTCCAATAGCAAATTCTTACATATCTTCTCTATTTATAGCCCTCCCCGGTGGTCTTGCAATTACATTGAAGTCAATTTCTGGACTTCATTTCTCCAACTGTGCTCGAAGTTTGAACCATCCATAATTTGCGGGGACTTCAATGGAAAAAGCTCGTTGTGGAGCAACTCTCCCACGTATTATACCAATGAATGAAGGTAAAAAACTCGAACAGGCAATTGTTAATTCCAACTAGTATATTTTAAATACTGGTGAACATACGTGGTCATCGTCTGACCTTTCGATAGAGTCCTCCTTGAATATCACGCTGGTCTCTCAGAGCTTAGCTCTTGATTGCCGGTGGAATGTGGACGACTGTAATCACGGTAGTAATCACTTTCCTGTTTATATCGCAATCCGTGATAGGTGTGACGGTGCAACCGACGGCAGAACTGCAGGCGCAAAGCCAAATCCCATTGGGCGAGGGCCGCCGAGAGAGGAAGCGATATGCGAGAGAAGTTGCGCAAGCGCTAGAATTAGAAACAGACGAAGCGATGGCGCAGCTGGAAAGATTGATGGAGATGGCGCAGGAGGGCGCGCAGCACCCGGATGAGGACTCAGAGGGCAGCACCATCGGCGCGAGCGACCCGTATTGGAAAGGCCGCGAAATTTAAAAAGAAAAAAAAAAGAGAAATCAAGAAACAAATAGAAATAAGGATATAAATGTAAATGAAATTATTATATGGTGATGGGAAATAAAAAAGTTATTATTAATATTACATCTATTGTTAGATAGCGTAATTGGTAAAAAGAATAATCAAAAGAAGTCGGAAGGCTCGCGTTAATACGTTTTTTTTATTATCATTATTGTTATATTTTAATTATTAAGATTTCGGTGAACAAGGTAAATTAAGCAAGGGAAGAAATAAAGGCACATAACTAGAGATAAATAGGAAGATTAAAACAGGACTAATAATAGAAGTAGTAGAAGACTGGAGAGAAACTTCTCGAACATTCGGGGTAATAAAAAAAGGAAAGTTAAGAACAAAAATTAGAAGGAAAGGATAAAGGGAGGCATTAGATGGCGAAAGCGATAGGAAAAATTTATTAAGAGATATAATTTAAAAAAACATACCCCCGAAGCTTCGAGAAGATCTAAAGCTAGCGAAGACAAGAGAGGGAAGAAGCAATATAAAGAAGCGAATCGAGACGCAAGGGATCGTCAGTGATCGGTCGAGCGAAAAGATCGAGGAAAACTCGTAGGAAACGCGAAAAAATCGGCCGCGGCGATATTTAACGAAAAATCATCAGCGTAATTGAGATAACGCACCAATATTACAAATTCTGCAAGAAAGGAAAAGTTATGTGATTTTGTGATATAGTTAGGCGTTCGTGGTGATTGTATATAATTAAGTGATAGAATAAAAGTTAATTAATTCGTTATTCTGAAAGAATAAAGTTGTTTCATTAATTAAAAACCCTGGTGGAGTGTTTCCTTGAATGCACAGCGGCACCTCGTAAGGCGAACCGCTCATATCCTACTGCCCGAAGCTGATTGGCCACGAACAAGTCGTATACGCAGACGATTGGCGGAGCGTCAGCCGGGTTACGACGGAACGAAATAGGGCGCCAACCAGAGGCCAGCCGAAAAGCGGATTCAGACGNAGGGCTCNACCGCCATTGGTTATTCTNGAANCGGATNCGGTANGNACCAATCGCCGAAAGGTAAGTCCCGGGGCTCTTGATTCGAAAGGGAAGACGGATATAATAAAAGGCCCGCGAGATCGGGAATATATCGCAAATTCTTATCAAATCAGTGTGAGTGACGGGCAAGCGGCAGGAAAACTTATCAGTATTCGAAATTTCTATTGAGGAGGGAACTCCAACCGTGAATACAGAGTTTCATTTGAGTAGTGTTAAGTGAAAAATATTATTCATAAATACCTTGTCGGCTGCATGGATAAACCGACTGGCGACCGTAGGACAAAATCTAAAAAATAATTTACATGCTAGGGACTAGGATTTAGGGAAATCCGGTCACAACGGCACTATTTCCTGCCGCCCGCTTCATATCTGTCAAGTGTGTAGATTGGGATCTCTTCCAACAGGCTTGTGTGGACACTGCACAAACTCTTGCACAGGAAATTGATAAGCCGGTCTCCGAAGTAAGTGTAGAAGAAACGTATGATCGTCTTACCCAGTCACTTGTAGATGCGCTGGAGAACTCTGGCGCTAAGGTCATCTCGTCAGCTAGTCCCTCTCGGAAGCCTCCGATACGCTGGTGGGATGCGTCATGCTCCCAGGAAATTAAACGGAAAAGAGAGGCATTTACTTCTTTTAAAAAGCATCCCTGCCTTCGGAACTTGTCTGTGTATATTGAAATTTCAAAAGAGATTACTCGCTTTCTTTGTAAAAAGAAAAACGACGCGTTCAAGTCATTTTGCGGTACACTCCATGTCCATTCTGACATAGGTTCTGTGTAGAGTACAGTTAAAGCCTTTTCGCATTCCAGAAACTATTCTCGTAGAGATTGCAACAAATACAACATTGATATTGAAGGTTTCCATAAATCATTCAAAAAAATCGCTCCTCTCCAACCTCCCATTACAAGTTTCCATTCAGACGTACTAGATAATACTCCTGCGTTGGAGAGTACAGTAGATAGTTCTGTTCTTGAATCTCCCATTAGGGATGAGAAGTACCTCTCCGCTGTTGAATCGTTAAAGATCAAATCCGCACCGGGTCCGGATTTGATCTCCAATAATGTCATATCACACTTTTCTAACGAACTTCATCAAATTGTCCACAAGTTATTTAACATAATGCTAGATAAACAATCATTTCCTAAACAATGGAAACATTATTTTAACAATATATGTGTTTGATTTATACTCCGTGAAATTGTTAAAAAATATATATGTGAGTGGGCCGATACGGAGTCAAATACTAGGTGTTGATGTTGTTACGTCCTGGAGACTCCACGGTCCCCTTTTTCATGCGACGCGACGCGCCAACGCATAGCGAACCCTTTTTTTTTCTTTATAATAAATAACTCGAACGGGTTAGGATTGGAGACTATCATTCCAAATGATAGTCTCCTATCGTTTGGAAACTTAAAACTCCAGACGATAGGAGAACAAACAAAAATTATATCGGCGCCCGGAAAGATAAACTGCGCCTAGCAATAACACAAAATTTTAGCAGCTTTCCAAACAAACCCAGATATCTCCGGGTCATGAAAAC